TGGCACAGAAAATGCAAGCTCCCAATAAAATCCACTGGATTGAGAAGGCAAATCATTCCATGGCAGTGAAAGGACGGTCAACAAATGATGTTTTCAAAGAAATAAATACACAGATTTTGTTTTGGATCCAAGAAATTACTGAAATGGACAAGAAATGTCATTAGTTAAAAGCTGTGTTATTTTGAATACAAATACAGTTCATTTTATAAAGAACAGTAATACCTCTGAGCATTATGAGATATATTTCAGACTACTTTTATGTTCTTTAATGTTCTCCTATTTCTTAGACACGTTTTAATTGTGAAATAATGTTCACAAGATATCTTTTGAAAGCACTGTTATAGTTGTATAAAGATGATGTAAAAATATTGAAGGTGTTCTAAATATAATTTATTTTCATGAGTATAGTTAAGTTTTGAAAAAAATTAAACATTTGAATTTTGTTACAACAGTGCTTTTGTCATTGATATACAGCTTGAGAAAGTACTCTAATTTTGCGGAGCAGTGTCATCTTCAGAAAAAGAAAATAAAACGTTATTATGAGAACCCTGAACACTTTTTAGAATGAAGTAACAACTTTCATTCCAGAAGTGTTCACTGAAGGCCTGTAATAGGCGAACCTCATTGGATTTGCAAAGATGAGTGAATACTCAGTGCTTACAACATAGCGTGTGAAGTCAACAAGTAGACCACTCTGATTAAGGGAAGAATTAAATAATGGTTAAATAGTGGAACTAACATTTGTGTTGTATCTAGGCAGAGTGGCTGCTGGTAGAGGCAGAGGAGAGAAAATCTTTTATTAAATACCAATAATTAAATAGTCTGGTATCCTCTTCTTTTTCTCTTTAGAACTTGTTGGAGAAAGCGGCACCGAAAATGAAAACTCCCAAGGGGTACTTAATTTTGCCTTGGGAAGATTAGTTATCTCCTGAACGGGACTTTGAATGATATTGAGTTATATATGAAAAATAGTTTCTATTATTTCCTATAAAGTACACAAAATGTGATAAGGCTGATATATAAAGTTCATCGTAAGGAGTTTGTTTTTTTTATAGTTAGAACTTGGCTTTTTTCCAGTTGCTAAATTCTGAGTTTTTAGTCTCAAAAAGTCTCTTGATTCCACCTCTCCATTTTACACTGCTATCACTCAAGCCCTTGTCAGTTCTCATCTAGCATTACAATAGCCTGATTGATTTTCCTGTCCTCTCCTGCTTTGATATGCCAATTGATACTTCCAATTCAAAAACTGTTGATAGAGTTCCAAAGGTGGTTTCACAATAGGGTCCTATAACCGTTTAGCCTTCTTTTCCCTCGTACACAGAACCTGTAACGGTACTATAGCTAACATGAACTACACAAAGTTTTGTGAAAAGGAAGACTTCCTGTCTTTCTTCTTCCCAAAACACAGTCTGCCTGTTACCAAATCCTGGTCATTCTTTAAGGCCCTTAAACATTTCCCCCCTCTGCAGCTTTCCTTGAATTATCTTTCTTTAAACCCCTGTGGTATCTTCCTCCTCGTTTTCTACATCACACTTTGCCTTCTCATCAAACTATTGATATATTTGCTCCATCCCACTTATGTTGCAAACTTCAAGTCAGGAAATGTTTTTTTCCCTCATCTTTGGATCCTTAAAGAATTTTTTCATTCTTTGTTCAGTGCTTGACACATTTATTATTTAATAAATATTTGTTGTATTGAACGAAGGCATTTACAGAAGGAGAATTTCTAACCATTCTGAACAATGCTTGGCTTTACATTATTTCGGATACCTAATTTTGGGACTTTTTCTACTAAATGAAGAATAAAAACCTGGTTCATAAAGTCCAAATAGTTCAAAGTTCATGGGCAGATTAATAGGAAATTTTAAAAACGTTTAATATAATTTTTAATGAGCATTTTCTTGTGTTTGTTTTTTTATTACTGTTAGTAATGGGCTTTCTCTGATGTTCTTTTTTTTTTACTGTCTTTGGATTTTTAAAAATCTAGCTTAGCATTTACTTTTTATGCTGCTCACTTGAGATCGACCTACAAAGAGGTTTTCAGTGCAAAGGAGAGACGTGTTGATGCTGAAAAATAAGTAATTGTACTTTTGTTAATAGCAAGTACATAATTAACTAACATGACAAAGCCCTGGAGGGAGATAATACCTGCCTCTATGTAAACATAAGCATCAGCAGGAGTGGTTCACAGCTGCTCATTTTAGTTCATTTTATTTTATTTTTTTTGAGTTGGAGTCTCACTCTGTCGCCCGGACTGGAGTGCAGCGGTCGCTCCCGGCCACCGCAGCCTCCACCTGCTGGGCGCCGGCGATCCTTCCGCCTCCGCCTTCCCAGTAGCTGGAACTACAGGCGGCGCTACCACGCCCGGCTGATTTTTTGACTTCTTGGAGAGATGAGGTCTCGCTGCCCGGGCGGGTCTCGAACCCGCGGACTCAGGCCATCCACGCACCTCAGCCTCCCAAAGGTGCGGGATGACAGGCTGAGCCACGGAGCCCGGCCATCAGCAGTTCATTTTCAATTGTTTTTTGTTTTTTGGTTTTTTTAGAGTTGGAGTCTCACTCCGACGCCCAGACTGGAGTGCAGGGGCCGCTCCCGGCCACCGCAGCCTCGACCTGCTGGGCTCCGGCGATCCTTCCGCCTCAGCCTTCCGAG